TTGCAGTTTTGCCCCCTGACCCACTTTCCCCACCCTTGGGCTTTTCTATGTGCATTTTGGGAAAAGACATGCACACCGAGAGGAAAGGGTGTATAACTAGAGCTGTCAAACAAATGACCTCACTCTGTCAACGAAGGAGGCCCCTCCTGGTTAGGACATGATCACTTGATCCTTTCCTAAAAGTTTGGGGCCTTTGTTTATCTACCTTGACTCTGGCCCACTCCTGCCTTGGAGTGCATTCAAATAAAACTTTCCCTCTGCTTTGCTATTGTGTCTCTGCCTTTGAATTCTTTGTTTCAGTGGGGACAAGAATGGAGGAGTTTGTTCTCCTCCCCTAACAGTTTGAGAACACAAAAGGGAAGTCAATTTCTGGAATGCCTGGCGTCAACCGCTGAAGACAGACCCAATTCATTTTGTCCTTAGGATCTTGCTATGCTTCAGGGACAGTATAATGGACGTCGGTTACCATTCCATGGAATTAGAGAAGTAAAAAACATTGGTATTTGGGCACAGTTTATGCTGATCTGTTGCCTAACTTGATCACTGCTCTTTCAATTATCTCCCTCGTGTTACCCAGTTCACTTTCATTAATCCTTCTTTGGATAATAACATAAAACAGAGAACAAAGAAACAAAATTAAACAAAACTCTTGAGCTTTTTCACTGGGTTCTAAAAACTAGAATTTACTATGCATAGTTTTAGAAGGCAGCAGGGTGTGTGCAAAAAATAATGTAACATCTAAGAAAGTTAGAAGTGATGTTACTGATTGTATATTACTTACTTCGAAGAGTTATAGTATCAGGCATTCGTGGGGTTCATGCTCATCAGTGACACGGAATTTTATTCCTTACTTTTGTCTCAAAATCGATCAGTAACTGGCAGACACTTTTTATGTCACCAAAGAGGAACCATGAAGTGAAAACTCCTGTCCTTCCTTCTCGGGACCTTTATTCTCGGACACCAGGACCAGCATCCGACCAGGCAGCAAAGACACAAACTCAGATGTCACCCTAAATTCTTCCCTCCACCACAGCTAATCAACTGAACAAGTTCTTGTTTATTTTACCTCCATTACTGTTGTCTTGGCCTAGGGCCACATCAATTCTTCAGGCCTCTGATTTAATCTCTCAGCTTCCAATTTCACCGTCTCCCATTCATTCTAGATGCTACAGCCTGAGAAATCAATTTAATACCTAAACTTGGCAGTCATCTGTGAGAGCACTCCCTAGTTTACAGGGTAATTGTCAAAAGCCTTAGCTTAGCAAACAAGGCCCTCTACGATATAAACCCTGCTAGTGGTTCTAGCCCTCCTTCCATTTCAATAATCAATCCAGTTTAACTATTTTTAGCCTTAATGGACTATGTTCTTCCATGCCCACAGGACATGGCAGGCTTTTCCACAGGGAATCATAGTATTGGATCTAACTCAAGTCAAGACCTAACCTCTTCATTTTTAAAGAGGAGAACACCAAGTTACAGAGAAGAGAAATAACTTATCCAAGGTCACAGAGGTGGGTCAGGAACACAATGGAATCAAGGCACTGTGTTGAGGCCTACCTGTACAGAATACAATTTCTTTAATCCCTTTCTGGCATGGCTCAAAATAGGCAAAGTCATACTCCTGCTCCGTGTAAGACTTTGAAAATCCTAAAGTGACACTGACCATTTGGTCTGCATCAACAAGCTGGCTTGAATGTGTGCATCCAAAACCTGTCACAAGAACAGAGCTTCGTGTTCCCCCAGTGCAACCCATTTTCCAGAAACCTTTGCTTTTGTAAGTTCACCAAGACTTCGATACAAACAAAGCCCTCAGCCCTAAAATAATTTTCAAATTCAATAGACATTACCAAAAATAAAACCTCCCAAATAAAACAATAGCAGAGACAGACATGATAATGAATATGAAATATACTAAGAACATTCTGTCACTGAAATAAACTTGACTTCTTGTGATTAATAGTAAGATGAAATCTTGAAACACGTAATGAAGCAAACGAACACGAAGAAATAGTTTGGAAAGGGTCCCACTTGAAATGGATTCGTTTGAAAACAGCCTCTGTCTTTTGGCTATCATCATCATGTTCCTGTCCAAAAATTCATTTTCAAATGTTATTTCCAAATGCAATCACAAATTGAAAATGTGAGTTGGTCGGCGTGTTCAAAATTTGCTCTGAGATGTACAAAACAGCAAGTGAGCTGTTTTCAGAAGGAATAATAAGTATATTCCAACATCCACTGGGCTTAATTCATGTTTCAGATCCTGGCCTTACCTTTTAATTCTTCAGGATCCTATTTCTACTAGGAAATGAGAATCACAGGAAACAGGATCACGAAGCCATTTCTAAACATTAGCATGTTGCCAACCTAAGTCAGTGAAGAAACACATTTTCAAGGAAAGGCCAGAGAGGCAAATTGGCTTAAGCTCAGTTTGTCAGAAATGGTGAGTGATTTTAGCTAAATCTAACCATACCATCATGCTCTACAATGCATTTACTGACAAGTCAGGGCACTGGAAAGGGCATCTCACATCAGCAAAGTGCTTGGAAGAGGAACAAAAATTACCTGTTGAATAGGAGAATTGGGTTTGTTAGCTTATGATTTCAACAGACTCCTGGATGCCCAGAGAATCCATCCATCCAATTAACATGGTGGTGGTAGTGTGGGGGTGTAGAATCAGAGACAGAGATGGGAGGGAAGGGGCAGAAAGCAAGGAACTAATGGTAAGCATTACTGTCAGTGGGTAACGTATAGACCAAACCAGGAAGAATACTAACCAGAAGATGAAAATTATCATTCAGGAACTTCCATTTTACATGAAATATAAAAGCAGGGCAAGAATACACAGGGGTTAACCAAACAAAGATAGGACAGCAATGATTCAGAGGGGAAAAGAAATTATGTGACATTCATACCCAGAATGTTGATAATACAATAACTCATACACAAAATTAACTTTCACTTCTTTCTAAGTATTGCTGAAAGAATTTGGTATCCCCCCCTTTTTTTTAATGAGTTTGAAATGTTCTCAATATCTGAAGTCTTCCAGGGCAGCTATGATCTTTCAAAAATACAGATGTCATTTGGAAAGAAAGTTCTCTAGTAAAATACATCCTGTCTTTCAGATATTGAGAGAATTGGAATGATGCTTATGAATGCAATTTATTAGATGAACTGTTATAAAGCACCATGTTAATAAAGGATGATAGGATTGAACAGCATGCCAATGGTGGTATTGGTGTAATATTGATAATGTCTACTGGTATATAGCACAGACAGTATTTTAAGTTAAAAAAAGGATGACAGTTCCTCTAAAATTATGCAAGGTACTTCAAATAGATACTTATCTGCTGGTTTTGTGACTAGCAAATGATGAACAGCATTTTCCATTAAAAAAAACTTGAGTATTAATGGAAATATAGTGAGGGTGGTATACACACACCTGTTAAAAAGTTAATTACGTCAGCTAAAAAGCATTTTGGGGAGTAAAGCCAATGGATGAATTTAACTGAAAAATGTTCCCCCTTGCTCATGGAATTGTTGGAGTCAATTTTCTCAGTCACATTTAGATTTGCCAAGACATTCGTTGCCCCAGATCCCTGATTCGGTAGTGATCCTGGAAGAAAATTGACATCCATTTGTTAGTTCCCTGGCCTCATTCGTTTTCATGCCCTATCATCCATGTTCCATGACAGCAAAACCACTTATATCCAAGGAAGCCTGTCTTCCATTCCCCGTTCCCAAACCTGCTTGTGCCCCTCAAGACTCTTTTAGGGAAGCAGCCATCACCATGACAACAATCTGAAGGGGGTTTGGACAGGATGTGGGGCAGCCTTTGTGAAAGTTAGTATCAGTTTGTGTTGAACACGAAAAAGAAAACTCAGACAGTGGGTAACACTCTGCTGTGGGGGGCCACTTAAGTAGCTGTACAGAACTGATTGTCCACATCAAATTTGTCCCAACCAGAGCACAGCCTCAGGAAAAAAAAAAATGTTGCTAGCATGATTTATTAGGGACTAATTCCTTAGTCCTCCATTGCGGCTGACTGGACTTAATGTCCAGGGGTCATTAGACAACAATATCATATTAATATGGAAAACAGAATAAAGAACTTTGCCTCTTTAACTTCCAGGGGGAGGTGGGACATCCAGGGATAGACACGTTTCCCGAGTGTTACCACATTCTCTTTTCTGGGGGAAAATACTTGTTTTCTACACCTTTTAAATTTCATTTGTATTCCCCTTCCTGTAACGCAGATGATGAAGGTGAATTATTGTGGAATTTTGGGGACTTTTTCCAGTATCTTTAATGCCTTTGCTTCTGGAAAGAGGAGTGTTTGCAGACACCAGGTAACAATTCTAGCTCAGGTGTAGTGCCCTTCTTTTGTGTAACCCAGAGGAGAGCTCAAGGCATAGGCTCACTATATATTTTACAATACTTTCCCACTAGTGACTTCACTTAGGAGACTAAAATTATCATGCCTTTTTTAAAAACAAGGATACTAAAAAAGTCACAATCTGATGAGGCTCATTCTTTGTCTTTACCTGAGCGACCACCTAAGGACACAGGGCTTTTAAAATAATGAGGAGAATCCTTTGTTCTCTCATGCTGCATTTAAAGGGAATGTGGGTCAAAGGGCTTCCCCAGGGAAGGAAACAAAACCCAGGAGCTACACACCCAAGAGTAGGAGATTTCCCTCCCACTACTGTTTCCACCCTCCCAAAGAAGTTAATTAATTCTATTTTAGGGATGTTCAGGGGGGCATGCAGGCAGCCCATTCTCTGCGACCATAATCTCATTCTTAAATGTGGCTCAGGCCATCCTCTCCTCCCTGATACCACGGAGGTGCGGGCGCTGAGACCCTGCTCTCCAGCCATGGACAACAGAGCCAGAACCACAAGCATTTGCGCTCCTCAAAAGGTACATTCGAGCCCAAGTGTACAGTTGGGTATTTAGACCTGAAAAGCACAATGAGAGCCATTCAAAGCAGCAAGTTACAGTACCTTAAGAAGTCTGACAGACGGGAGAAAGGCTGCGTGGCACAGCTTCCGGATGGTCCAGTTTAGGGGTCGAGGAGCATCAGTTTGATTCATGACCCCTTGCGAATTCCACCGGGAAAACCAGAAACTGCAAAACCTGAACAATGCCTATAAAATAAACGATGCCCCACGGTCCTGGCATCCCATGGTCACCTCCACACCTGCAGATTCCATCAGGGCAGAGGCTTCCTCGAACTTGGGAGACTCGTCAAGTGGCTTCTGCCTGAGCCACTGAACCTTCTTAAGAAAGCCACCTCCCCTCTCCCTGCAGCCGTGCTCGTGCATGCCAAATGTGGCTGAATGGAGGCACAGTGCCTGCTGCTTCGGGGAGGGGATGCACGGTTCTGAAGGAGAGGGACAGCCTGCACGAAACAGCCTGTGGTTGCAGTCAGAGCAGCCTGCTCCGAATGCGCGCTCCCTCTCCTGCTCTCTGCCCAGTAAACGCAGGTCAGGCGTTGGGGGAGAACCCAGGCCATTTGCTCGGCTCACTTGGTTTGGCGGGGAGCCAGGAGGAGAGAAACAGGGAACATCAATAAAGCCAGAACAGGGAACTTGCACTTTCTTGCACAAAGCATCCTTGAGGGGCTGGAAACTGGCACAGGGGGAGGGGCTAGGACACAGAGACAGCGGGATGCCTCCGAATGATAAGATAAACACTTACCCTTGATTTATGTGACATAATAAGTTGAGAGCTATTGTGAAATGAATCTGTAATAAAAAGGATCTCTGTCGTGTTCTGGGGTTTCTATTAACGGTGATTGACGGTCTTTACTGTGATATACACATTATACAGATGACAGGCAGCGGCAGAGAGAAACAGTGGCAACGAATGTATGCGTGGCTTACCTTTTAGAAATGGCACTTTCTAAACTGGGGGTTATCCCTCCTGGAAAGCCACTTGACAGTCTTTCTCTGCAACAAAATTTTAACCCTTAAGGTACCACATGGATATGTTTTATAAAACACAGTTTCCTGAAGTGTGGATACCCACCCCCCATCATTCTCTAAGGACGGGTCTTAAGAGTGAGCTGCTCTGTTGGCATTTTAATCTTTAGGGCTCCTGTGGTGCAAGAGAACAAAGAGGAACTTCTCAGTTTGAAGGCAGAAACTGGATAGTTTCACCTGGAATAGTGAAGTTTGTGGGGGGGGGGGTGCGGGGAGAAGGAGTTCATGTCAGTTACACACTTTAACTCCCTATGCCCGCACATCAGACCAGGGGGTGCATCCCATTGACTGGCTGCCCAGGAGAATCCCCACATTCTTGGAACTTTGTCATCTAATTTTTTCTCTTTATGTCCCGTCCTATGACTGTACAGCTTTTCCATTTCTAATTAACTGGAAGAGAATAGCAAATCCCAGCTCCATAACTGTTACGCCTTCTGAAGCAGAATTAGAAGAGGTGAGAGCAGAGGTAATACACTTGGACATGCTGTAGTTCAGAATTTGGGACAACACATACCCTCCCTGGAGCGTAATAAATACCTGGGACAACACATACCCTCCCTGGAGCGTAATAAATACCACATTTCATTGCAACACTATGTCCCTCATCACCATCCTGTGTCACAGATCTAAGGACACTACTGCAGAAAATCTAATCTACTGGTGGAATCCAGACCATTGACTTGCCTTGTATAATAAAATTCAGTATCTGATTATCTTCTGTTAAACAGTATGACTTTATCAGACCCCACACACAGTTGGTTAATTATCTGTCACCATTCTATTTCCACAAAGGATGAAAGGTAGGTTTTAAGTAACAGCAGCTAACATTCACATCAGGCACTATGCTAGACACTCTCCATGCATTACTTAAATTCATGTCGACAACCACCCCATGGAGTAGATGCTATTGTCATATCCCCATTTCACAGATTAAACAACTGAGGTCTTGAGAAATTAGTAATGGACCTGGATCATATGAACTAATCAAACTGGAATTTGGAGTGAGATCAGTCTACTAGACCACAAAAACAAGATTTCTCTTCTCTCCTATTTCTTTCATAAATAAGGGGACTCCAGCAAAAAAGCCACTGCCTCAGTCTCCTGGGGCTCAAAGATCTTTAAGAAGAAATGCTCAACATCTCTTTCAGATTATTTCTTTGGTATGACACTGACAGAGCGATTAACATCATGAATTCTGCAATCAGGCTGCATAGTTCGATTCTAATTCTGACCCTGGCCTTGGGCATTTTACTTACCTCCTCTGTGCCTTGGGTTCTCATCTGTAAGACAGAGATAGAACGAAACCATACACCGGAAGGCTATTGCAAAGACAGAAGGCGCTAATAGCAGTGAAGCACCTGGAGCAGTCCTAAGTCTGTTACACCGTGATCTATCTGCTTGGAGCACAGGCTGACCCTGACCTGGGGACTCCGTGATAATTTCCACCAAGTACACATACTTACAGTACCAGGTAATGAGGTCAAGCAAGACAAGTTAAGCCTGAATGCTTCTTATAAGTTACCGTGAGATGAATAAATGGGGTAAAGAGAGGCAGATTCCTGAGAAAGTATGGGTTTCCTCTCGCTCTATTGAAAAGTGGTATTTATGTGATTGCCAGATGCTGCCTTCAGTGAGGCTACAAAGCCCTAGCATCTCTAAGCTATTAAATGTTATTTGGTGCTTCCCTTGCAGCTGTGAGAAGTCTGGTCCATTAAAATGCTGACGCACTGTGGCTGCCTCTCCCCTGCCCCCTTGCTATTCCCCACAGTTAGGAACCCCCAAAAATAACAGGGCCATGCTGAAAACACCCAGCCTTTGATCCTCCTCGCCCCTTTAATTTTTACTGAATAACTTCAGTCAAAGAGGATAGTTAGGAACTCTGTGGAATGGGGAAGTAGGATTCACAGTCTTCTCTAATGGTAATTAGTGGAGAGAAGCACACCACCTCTGCAGAATTGGTTTGGAGACACCACTGCAAGAAACGTAGAGATAGAAGAAGGGCAACAGTGCACCCGAGAGGGTTTTTCTTGCATTATTGGATAGTTAGTGCCAATTGTTAGCTAGCAAAATGTCTACCACAGGGTTTTCAGGACCCTGCCTCCTTTCAAGAAATGGTATTTCTTCATGGAAGGACGCCTTCCCGGGTTTGAAAGAGGAGTTTAGTGAGGAAAGAGCCAAGAGAAGCAAGCCCAGCCCTGGAAGTTAGCATTTCTTAAACCAAAAATGCTTGTTTACAAATTTTATGAATGTGGATGTTTACAAATCTACAGAACAAATCTAGCAGGACTAAAGGTCTGAGAGAACCATATTCGCTTTCAGCCTCCTAAAAAATAGCAATCCACCACATCAAAATTCTGCACCCAAAGCATGCCTCTGAAATAATGCTCTCCTAGGCTACCTGAGCTCACTGCCCCCGATCAGCTTCAGTTTCTATTTCCTGTGTAAATGATGCTAAATTTAAGAATTATGGTAGGAGTTGAGCTGTCTCAGTATTGACAATGAGCCACAGTACTGACATTCTGAATTCCTTTTGAAAACCATGTTCCCTCTCTTAAAACACTAGAACACCCTCCATGTAGTATTGCCCCACTTTACACACTGTCTTCCTTTAAACCCCTTCGATATAGAAGGGGCTGGCTCCTGAAAACTGAAAAAAATAGAAAGGAAAGGACACAGTGTTTGCAGAGTTCAAAATATTTCAAAACCTTCTGCTGAAATATGCTTTCTGTACACAACACTCAAAAAATGCTCCACTGTCATTTTTCACAGTTCTTTATTCTAACATTGCAATTCACAGGTACCTGGATATGAATTCAACAGATTTTTTTCAGACTCTAACAGCGACTTGCAGGATAGAAAATGCAAAGGGATGACACTCAAGCATCCAAGAGAAACAGCACAAACCAGCCCAGGAGTAAGCCTTTGTTAATAATTTGCCTCAATATTTTGTAATCTCAGTATTACATCCTGCTTGCTTTTTGATTATCCTAAGTTACTAGCTTTGTTGTGTTTGATAATTCACCATCTTTATCAGAAAATCATTTGTGTTGTGAACACTGTAATTTATCATTTTTATCAAAAAAACATGCTTTACCTGTTTATTCCCCATAATCACACTCAAATACAGCCATACAACTTCAAGAAACTTTTAGATGCCTCTACAATATTTTCCAAAATATTAAATCTCTTTACAGATTCCACTGATACAGAATACTTTTTTCCCAAATAATTGTTCTTCAAATAGATGAAATTACTTTTCTTCTTACTTTGAGGTATTATCCCCTTTGACATCTTTTATAGATAAGAGATTCAAGTACACATTAAAATCTATTCAAACAAATGACTCATTTTGTTAAGGTGCTTAAACAGCATTTACTCTGTGAAAAATGAAAAGATCCCAGAGTCAGAACACTTGTCTACTCCATTTTCCCCCAGTATGGGGGTCTCTTCCCCACTTCCCTGCCTGCTGTCCACTCTCTGCATGAACCTGTGGGGACAGGGAGCAGGTGAATTTTTGAGGCTGCCCATTCCATGGATGGACAGCTCTGGTTGACAGGAAGTTCATTCTAAGACTAAGGTGAAATGTGCACCCCTTTAACTTCCAGAGAATGCTTCTGCAAATATAGACAACAAACTCCCCCAAAACCTCTTCTCCATACTGGACATCTTGGAGCTTGAGTCTACATGATAGAGTGTAGTTATTTAGGAATGCTCTTCAGTTATAGTTTATGTGATGTTAGAAGGGCACTTTAACTATAATAGTGTCTGATCCTTTGAATGACTTCTCACAAAGTTCCTTTAAGGAGCTTCAAGGTGAAACTCACCAATACTTCAGCTTCTTTTAAAATTTTCTTCATGATTTAGTTTACTCAACATACAGTTTAACAGCTGACACACATTCTTTCTCTCTCTCTCAAGGTGAGTGTGTCAAAGAGAACCTCTGCTGTAAAGTGGCCTCTACTGTATTTGAAGCTGAAATATTGCATGTAATCTCCTTTCTTTGGATCCTGTTTTATAAAAGAGGTGGTGATAAGCCCTGGCTAATGGGAAGCCTATGCTTCTCCCAAGAAATGGGCAGGGACTGGAGGTGTGTGCTTCCTTCTCCCTATCTTTATCTATTAGCTTTAGCATCAGACAGACTCAATTCAAACTCAAGTCCCACCTTTTACTAGCTGTGTAGCCCTACGCCAGTTACTTAACCATTCAGAGCCTTAGTGTCCTTATAAAATTTGGTCTATAATAGTTTCCACTATTTCCAGGTTTTTATGAAGAGTAAAAGCACAGTGCTATATAGGAAACACACATTTAAATGGAATGATAGTGATGTTGATTGCTCTCTCTCTCACTGAGACCCCTGGCAGAGTGCTTAAGGCCACAGATCGTACACATCCAACAGCCTGGATTTGAATCCCAGCTTTACCACTCATCCTGCTTTGGGAATTTTCTTAATCTCATCATGCTTGATTTTCTTCATGTGCAAATTGGTGATGATAATACTGCCTATGTCAACATTGTGAAATTAATT